CACTTATGTTTCTGTAGTATGACACGTTTCACAAACATAATTGCAACAAAGATGATATATCCGATATCAAAAGTCATAATATTGGAAGTTTAACTGTTGTGGATACGATTTCAAGAATGCTGTTAGAGAGAGTACCCTTTAGACCTCATGCTCACACCAAATTAAAGAATTCAAGTAAGGGTTTTTGAGACAAATCGAAAAAGAGAATGTTAGCAAAGTTGACAATCTAGACAGAAACATTTAATCTTTTGCTTATTGCTAGGAAGGAAGACCCACTCGTTGCTTTGCAACGAGCTTTGCTCTAGTTTTATTATTATTATTATTATTATTACCTCATTTATTTTGTTAACATTTTGAGATTATTTTGGAAACTTATTTGTTATTTGTTGTCAACTACAAAATATTCAGAATTTCGCCATAATAAATTAATTGTTAAAATTTAAACTTTCTTCTTATATCAAGGTGTTGATCATAATCTAGGAATCTCAGAACCTGGGTTGAATAAAACAGGACCAGTTATTGTACCTTTACATAGTTAGTGGGCTTGGTCTGTTCCTTAGTATTACTTAGTAGAGTGTAAAGATAATTTTGCATACTTTAAGGCAGATTGAGTACACTTTGCGGCCATAGACAAACTGGTTCCCGTTACACATACATACAAAACTTTTCAGATAGCTACTGACAAAAACTACCAATATTTTTGTATATGTATTTTACACATTTTAAAGGTTCATTTTTTATGTTTATATTTTTTTTCATATTAAGAGTTATTGGTTTAACAATAGAGCCGTTTATTTTAATAGCATCAATCATAATTATATTTTTATTTGGAATCAACTTTTTCTTTCCGAAAAATCTACGTAAATCAGCTCTAATTATAGTGTACTTCCTTTTCCTCTAATTTACCAACTGCAGAAACTAACGCTAAGCAGACAAGATAAGAAATCTTCCAAGTACAAAAAAAAGTCAAACAAATAAAAAAAATATATTGCCGGTATTATATTGCTTGGTATTAATCAAGCATTTGTGCTACTGTGGTTTCATCAATATTCGTGGACATAAAATATTGTGGATTTAGTCAAACTTTAGAGTGGCCAGGTCCTCTCCTTTTCAAAGGGGTCTGCAGTGCAGATATAGCAGTGATTTGAACATAGCTGACGGACCCTGTTCAGCTTTAAACCCTATTTCCTAAGAGCGTCGTTTACCCCGGTCCTACTAAACAGAGTACGATAGAGTACGCTAGTAATATTTTGTAATTTAATGCAGTTAAACTACTTTTTGTATGTTTTTCTACTTTAGTTTAACAAATTGACTAAATATTCAAAAAACAAATTGTATGTTTTCTGTATTTGAGGAGTTATTTCAATTTTTGATTTCAGGTTACGTTCGATCGTTTGATCCCGATCTAAATTTACTTGAACCTGTTAAAAAGTCTCAGTGTGAATGTGAAAAATATTTACACATGCAATTAATTTCATATTTGATAAAATTTAGATGTATATAAATCTTTATATATAGAAAGAAAGTCTGAAACAAAATAGTAATCGAGATTGGGGTATTAGCTATAGGTATAACGTAATCTTAATGCGTTGAATTTTGGATGTTATTTCTTGTCAAAATATCGCTAAAAACAAATATTTGAAACAAATATTGGAAAATAAATTTATAATAATGTTTAATCAGGTTGTACATACATAAATAAACAATTTAATTGCATTAAATAACAGAATTTTTCTAGCGTACTCTAAAGTACTCTATCGTACTCTGTTTAGTAGTACCCTCGTTTACCCGTCGGCGCGAGGCATACACGAATTCGTTTGTGTTTACTTTAACTCGATACTTATTTATAAGTCAAAACTAAGTTGTCCTTATAATACTCGTATTGGCGAGTGAAATACTAGACATCACCAAGTCTTCACAAGTTTAGCTTTTGAAAAAAGCTTAGAGAGTCAGCCAATGGATTTTTCTTCTCTGTGATAGGGCCTAATGTTTTAAAGAATCATTGAGAACTGGAAAAAATTCCTTCAACAAATTTTTAATCAGTAGGAGAGTTCGGCACTAAAATAAAAACATCGTCTTGATATTTTTTTCTACATAGGAACAGAAGCGTTTGTGCATGCAGATTCTTGCATTTTTTGTCTCAAAATCAAAAGAACGGAAAGTATGTATAAACATTTAAGTTCCAATTCACGTAACATTAATCAAAAAAGTTATAAACTTACAATCTCATTATCAGATCTATAAGATTTTAGGGGGAGGGGGATATATGGACATTATGCCATTTTTAACAAAACGGAGCCCAATAAGCTTCACTATCATCCTTGTTAGAGTTTATCATGCCGCCGGTTGAATCACTCTTGGCTATGTGTTTAGAAAATGGAAACACCCTTGTTCCTGCGATACTTAAACAGCCATACTGAACCTGCTTCGTTTGAGAATACAAATAAAGGATTATTGAAATACCTAGTACATTTTCTTGTACATTTTAGAATAAAAAAAATAAACATTTATTGTTCATTCAAACAGGTAACATGTAAGCTTTGACGGTAAAGCTTAAGAGCTTTTTTTTAGTTATTAACTAATGTCATTTGACTTACTAGTAACTAGCTGAATTTTGGCTTAAAATTGTTTCATAAAAATTAGAATTGAAATAAAGCAAACATTACTTAGACCTACAAAATCATTTATCAGACCTGTTATAAAATAAACCTATTAGTTCATAATTATGATTGCCACAACCTAGATTATCAGGTCGTAGTTTATGAAAAACAAGCCAATTTACGGATAAAAAAGCATGCGCAGATCGGGGGGGGGGGGGGGGGGGGGCAGGGCGGGGCCATAGGGAGTTATGGTTTACATTTAATTGCAAAAACTCTAAACATTCTTCAGATATTGACTGGAAATTAAAGTTTTTCACAGAGTCACACAGAAGTATGAATATATGACACTGACGTTTGACCTCAAAATACACAGGGGTGTTCCTTACGCCATATATCTGGCCATAGGGAGTTGTGGTATAAAATTTCATTGCAAAATCTCAATGGCTAACAGAGATATCGCGCGAAAACAAGTAATTAAATAGACAGAATTTCTAAATTTAATACCTTGACATTTGACCTCAAAATCAAGAGGGTCTTCCAAAGGCCATATAAGGTGTAAACAGTTGTGTAAAATTTCACTGCAATAGCTCAAAGACTTCACGCAATATTGCCGGAAGGTGAAAGTGTTACAGAGAGACAGAACTATAGATGGACTGTCCGACAGACTGAAATTGATATTCTCTAATTTCAGCGGGGGGCAACAAACGAGCAAGCTTAGCCAGTTGTATTTTCTTTCCGAAATATCTGTTGTATGACTTAACAAGTCTGTCCACTATTTAGCATCGGGATCGAAATTATTTGTAGTGAAAACGAAAGTAAAAGCAGTAAAAACTGAAAAGCTAAAAATATGTAATAAACCAATGTTTGTGCTGTAGATTAAAATACATAAGTAAAAATACTTTAAATATATTTTATAAAAGAGCTCCCATTTACGCGTCAAACACTAAATTCATCCAACAGTAGCAACTGTATGCTTCGCTGCGTAGAACACATGATCACATGTGCGAACAAGTTAAATTACTGCGAACCAGTTAACTGTTTGAAACCTTCTATACAAAAATAAGCATCGGGAAATTCCTTTTTAGGTCACCTGAGTAAACTCAGGTGACCTATTGCTATCTGTTTTCGTCCGTCGTCGTGCGTCGTGTGTTGTGTGTTGTGCGTTCACATTTGAACATTTTCATCTTCTTCTCTGCAACCACTGAACCAATTTCAACCAAATTTGGCAAAAAGCATCCATGGGTGAAGGGGAACAAAAATTGTGATTTTCATGGTCCCTGCCCCCCTTGGGCCTGGGGGTGGGGCAAAAACCACCAAAATGGCTCGCTACCGATATACCGAGTTACTCCCCGTTACTCCGCTCTTCAGAATCGATGGGTAGTTCCGGTTCGATTGGCTCTGCTGTAAACAAACTACGTTCAGTGTATTCAGTCAAATATAACGAACTACAAGGTAAAGAAAATTTGAGTATGATTATTAAAAGGTGTTACAATAAGGCAAGATGCAAAAGAATACACATCAACTGTACTTTTCAAACATAATTAGCAAGAAATTCTGAAATTGGAGAATAAAAACGTTACGTATGTTTGTGTAAAATCTGTGCTGGGGGAATTCCAACTTTAAAAATAGAAGTTGTTACATGATGTGTGTAATCGGCTTTAATACTTTTAATTTAATCAGATTTCTGACTTTAAATTAATAAATTGAATATTTTATAAAGTGATGCGTATACATTTTTACCTATATTATTATAATAGTAGTACTATTAAACCTCATCAAAGCAAATTTTCACGTGTGATGTTATAACTTTAGGTCAATCCATGTATGGGTGGTGGACGTCGATATTGCGTTTTGTGTTCGCACTACCAGGGCCAAGTCACTGAAAACAATGAAAAAATTACCTTGCACAGAATTCCAGCAGGTTCAAGTGAAAGTGATAAGAAAAGAAGGGAAAGCTGGGTTCAGCGCATCAGATTCATTCGCCCAAATGCTCCTATCTCAGACAATACTAGAATATGCAATTTATATTTTAATAACATCTGTACTAAATCATCAGTGCCTACTAAACTGAACCTAAAATATGCAAAACCAGAAACTCAACGTAGACCCCTGGTGCGAATATCTCCAGTAAATAAAACTTTACCACCAATTAAGGAAGATGAAAACCATGACCCTGATACACAACATGAACAAATAAGTGCAAATACAAGTAGATCTAACAGCAGCTGTGAAGCTCAAATACAGGTTGGTTCATCAGATGTTAAATTAACATGTACTGCTGAAATCCAAGCTCAGTTTCCATTGATGAAACCTGAAGATATATTCCAAAATGATGACAAAACTAGATTTTACACTGGTTTTCCGAATTACAAGACATTTAAATTAATGTTTGATGTACTAATGAAACATGGCGGAGATAGATTAACATACTGGGAAGGCGAATTGCGCTCTATAGATGGTGACAATAGGAAGTACAATGACCCAAATTTTTTTAAACCTGGAAGGAAAAGAAAATTGAGACCCATCGACGAATTTTATATGGTTTGTCTAAGGCTAAGACTAGGCATGCTGCAGGAACATTTGGCTGATATGTTTTTTGTGTCAGTCATGACTGTTTCAAGAATTCTAAATACTTGGTTAAATTTCATGTATGACCATTACAAGGGGATGATACCTTGGCCAACAAGGGAGCAAATTTTAGCAAATTTACCAAAGGCATTTGTTGAAATGCAAACTGTGAGAATTGTTATTGATGCCACAGAATTTTTTTGTGAAAAACCAGGAAATTTGACAGCACAATATTTAACTTGGAGTGAGTACAAACATCACAACACATTTAAAGTATTAATAGGTGTTGCACCAAATGGTTTAGTTACATTTGTGTCAAGAGTCTGGGGTGGTCATACATCTGATCGTCATATTGTGCAGAAAGATGGAGACTTACTACTACCACATCTTCAAAGTGACGACATTATTTTAGCCGAAAAAGGCTTCACAATTGCCGACTTGCTACCATGTGATATTGGACTAAACATGCCACCATTTGTGTCCTCATCAAAGCAGATGACAGCAGATGAATTCTTCAAAACTCAACAGATTGCTCAGCCAAGAATTGTTGTTGAGATGAAGATGGAGCAAATAAAAAACTTTTAAGATATTACAGACTATTTTGCCTCTCTCTGAAGCACATCTTGCAGAGCAGATTATTTTAATTTGTACTGCCATGACAAACTTGTATGAACCACTGCTTAGATGAGTTGTTTGAATCATTCATAAACTTATTAAAACAATACTGTGTATAACTCATATAGTGCTAATGCTTTTGTGATTTAATAAACTGGTAATATCATGTGCTTTATTTCCTATTTTATTATCAATGCAATTCTGACAAAAAAATGAATATATGACAAAGCATGTATTACAAATTTTGCCCCTTTTCATTGATATAAGGATCAGTCAATATAACTGCTTTCCACGTTTCACCCTGCGAGTGTAAATTTCAGCTACAATGTTTCTGGTATAAAAATATTTCAATTTAAATAACATGTTATTGTGCCAGTAAGTCTGATCAAATTCAATTCTTTCTGTGGAAATTCCTTTTTTGGTCCAAATAACAAAATCTGCCCACTGGATATCTAATACTGCCATCTGGCCCATAACCTGGTAGAAATAATTATGTTGTCTTTTCAGATACAACTTTTCATCACGCAATTCACAACAAAATGATGGGTTACTGGCACATTCCTTTGGAAGTTTTTTTCTCCACTTATCTTCTTTTCTCCCATACGGACACTTGATCTCAACAACTCCAGTTCCACATATGGAGCATTGAACTTTTCCATCAACACTTGCTCCCAAAAATGGATGCTTGTTGCTAACATACAGTCCCATGTCTTCGACAAAAACATCACCTCTGCAGTTTTTTCTGTGATTCTGTACATACTGCCTACGGGCTTTACATTCATATTTTTTACCATGAGAAATACTGGAAGTGTTTGGTGGAGTATTGTACCCACAGAGTACTTTGACCAAATTTTCTGGAGGAGTTTCTTCTTTTCTCTTACAAATAGAACCAAAATTAGACGCAGTCAATACACAAGTTCTGGCTTCTTTCCAGTTTTTATTGTTGGCTTGACCACGTGTTGAATTGTTTAATTCAGACACAGTTAAGGGAGGTACTTCTAACCTGTTCACAAAGTCAATAAATTCTGACTGACACACTGCAGAGTTTAAATCAACACTATCCATAAACATGAAAGATGGTTCATAGATATTTAAAAAGGGTGTTATGTCTGCAGTCCTCGCACACATTGTTTGGTAAAGAACAGCTCCTGGATGAGCCTGCCCCAGTCCTTCCAGTATGTCTTTAAGAACATTTTCAGGATCTTTACACGGGCCGGACATGTATACATCTGGATAAGGTTTCACTGGTGGATTATCAGATGTGAGAAACTTGATGTCTTGTAATCTTTTTGGACTTGGCGGTCTCTGAATTTCTTTGGGTTTTTTCCACTTACAATCACCTGAGGTACAGGGATTTTTTATTTTGACAACAGCAAATAAGGCGGCTCCAACATGGGCACAAAATCCAGCTTTTCCTGCTTTACAATTACAAGAGGATATTTCAATTTGTCCAGTTTTAATAATGGTAACACAGAGGCTGTAATGGTCATAATTTTTTCCTTCTATTTTTACTAAATGTCTCATACTTGGTCTACATTCTGCTGCAATACAACTGTATGTATGGTTAACATTATTCACTTTTATATTTCCAAGAAAATTTTCATCACAGAGTCTTCTTGCCTTTTTAAGCTGCCTTTTGCACTTTTTAGATTTACCTGAAACAGGATCTTTTGAATAGATAAAGTAATTAAGAATGTTCTCTTCCTTAACATCTGGACAATTCTCCGTTGTCAGCTCTGCCCACCCATCTTTAAGTTTTGACGGATTAGGAACATATTCATCATCCCCATCTGAACTGTCACTTGTGGCAGAAATATCTGTCTCACCAAAGTTCATTACTCTAATTATTCTGTTCACTAGAATGTCCTTATTTCCAGATTTTTTAAGACCTTTGTCTGCTAACCATTTTTGAAGATCTGATTTCTTCCATTTTAAAAGTATTTCAGGAGTTACAGGAGCATCACCTGTATCAGAATCTGTCTCACTCATTCTGCAAATAATTTATACATATATGCATTAGTTTTCAATTTAATTTACATATATTCTATTAAACAATATGTTGTTATTTTGTCTCTTGATTAATACTGAGGCATTCTGACAATATTGGCTTTTCAAAATAACCGGCATTACCTGCAAACTTTTACTATGTATTGTACATGTATATCATGTATATATGACATAAAATTCGGTGAAAATAAAATGTAGGGATGTAACAACATTTTCACAATTAAATATATATTTTACCAGTTTTCTATACCCTCGTATTAATTTTTACGCCAATCTGCATTATTTTATTTCCGTGTGTGCCCAGAATTATACGAAACATGTCAGCTAGGAAACTGCATATGCATAGCAGTATATAACACATGGTACAGGCCCCACGATACATAGGCACAATAAACTTGTAAAGATGATCAGTGATACAGTCCCGTTACCCCCGGGTGTACTTTCAATAATACCGATAATTCATTCGAGGATTAAATATTGCTTACCTGTACTGTATTGTTAACTCTTCTCGTGAAGCCGAAAGGAAAGCGTTTGTAAACAGTATTGTTTAAACGTGACGCCATGCACCGGAACTACCCAGCGTTGCGCCACCTTTAGGATAAGAGCTCTGCCAGGAGCATTCACTCTGTATATCGGTAGCGAACCATTAATGCAATCTTTAAAAATCTCCTTCTTTACTCCTGGACATCAAGCAGTCAAATTATTTGCATGACTGTAATCAGCATGGAGTCCTCTACCAAAATTGTGAAATTCATGGCCCCAAGGTCAGGGGTTCTAGTGCTAGGGCGGGGCTAAATAAGTATATAGTGAAAATGCATTATTTCTTTTTAAATCTTCTTCTCTGCTACTGGGTATTAAATAATCCAACTAAGTCATAGTTATGATGAGCAAGAGTGCTTCTACCAAAATTGTGAATTTTATGGCCCCAGGGTGAGGGGTTCTGGTGTTAGGGCGGGGCTCTATAGATTATATAGTGAAAATACATGAATTCTTTGAAAATCTTTTTCTCTGCTCTTGGGTATTAAATGAACTAACTAAGCATATAGTTATGATGAGCAAGAGTGCCTCTACCAGATTTGTGAATTATATGGCCCCAGGGTCAGGGGTTCTGGTGTTAGGGCGGGGCTCTATAGATTATATAGTGAAAATACATGAATTCTTTGAAAATCTTCTTCTCTGCTCCTGGGTATTAAATAAACTAACTAAGTGCATAGTTATGATGAGCAAGAGTGCTTCTACTAAAACTGTGAATTTTATGGCCCCAGGGTCAGGGGTTCTAGTGATAGGGCGGGGCTCTAATGATTATATAGTGAAAATACAGTAAATCTTTGAAAGTATTCTTCTCTGCTCCTGGGTATTAAGCAGATGAACTGCCTATATAGTTATGATGAGCAAGGTTGCTAATCTTCCAGAATTGTGAATTTCAAGGCCCCAGGGTCAGGGGTACCATAGGGGGGACTATACTTATATATACTGAAACTGGATGAATTGTTTGAAATCTGCTCCTTGGTATTTATCAAATATTTTTGAAAAGCAAGGGTGCCTTTTCAAAAATTATGCAATGTGTGTATCTAAGCTTAAGGGTCAGGGGTTGATGTGTGATAGGGGCATTACTGATTATTGCTGAATATTACTGATTCCTTGAAATGCATTTTTTGTTCCCCTACCCTGCCTATAAGTATTAAGTAAACAAACTAAGCAACTGCTAAGTGTATTGTTATGATGATCAATGGTGCCTCTTTAAAAATTGTGAATAGCATAGCATCTGGTTTAAAACATGAATCGAATTCAATCACTGGAAAGTTGTTGCATAAATATGCTCAGGTGACCTATAAGGCCCGTGGGCCTTAAATTGGCTTCCGGTATCGACCGGAAGTATTGACGATGCACGAAAAGGCGATTTTGCAACGCTATAGGTCATGAACTATCATGTCCAATTAATCTTTAGTTCATATCTTAAGCAGTTTTTCGCTACTAAATCAAGACAAAATTGCATTTTTAAATCAGAAAATTGTCCATATCTCATGACCGGAAGTGACGGCGTCAACGAAAAAAAATTTCCAATAAGGTTCAGATCAGAACTCATTAGATGTGAAAATTTCATGAGAATCAGCCCAGTAGTTTACGAGAAATCACGTGCACAAAATCGGTAAGAATAATAATAATGATAATAATAATAGGGAAAAAGAAACCGAAGAATAACAAGAAGGTCTTCCGTTGGAGACGGAAGACCTTAATAATAAGAAACAATAAAATCACTATAAGGTCTTCTTTGAAGACTGAAGACCTTAAAAACAGTAGAATCTCTATATAAGGTCTTCCGTCTAAAACGGAAGACCTTAATAAGAAACAAAGTAAAAACAATGTTCTCCAACTTTGTTTGGGGAACATAATAATAAGAAACATAGTAAAAACAATATATTCCCAAACTTCGTTTGGGGAACATAATTAGCCAAATTATTAGGGGTTGCAATGTACAAGTACTCCACCTATCTTGATATACTAACAGCTAGGATGTCAAATTTCACACATAGGTGAAAACTTGTATCAAGTTATATTGGAACAGACCAAAGGTAGATAACTTATGGAACTATTGTTTAGAGTATTTTGTTATCCTGTGCAGTTCAGAAGTCTTTTGAATTATAGGAAAATATCATTTAAGGTTAAACAAGTTAAATATTGCATCCATTCTGGCCATTGCCCTAGGAAATGCAGGGTCACTGTTTAGAACACAAAAGTACTATAATGGAAGTTTGGCGTATAATAAAAAATTGATTACCCCTTTTTAAGAAAATGTTAACTTTTTTTTCTTTTCAGAAACAACTTGGAATCATTAGATTTCGGTGTGCTACATAATGTAGAGAATGTGCAGAAGATATAAATTTCATATTTTACCACGGTGAACCGATACCGTGGTGAACCGTTTCACTCCTATGAATTGGTATACCGGGTATATTTCTGGGCCTATTTTTTGTTTCAAACAATACAGTTTTTAAACTTACACAATACTGTGTACATACAGTGTTTTTTTACCCCATGTTATGTTGCCCTTTTACACTTGCCCCATTTCAAATGCGCCAAGTATCATGTTTAAGAAATTATACTGTTTTCTTTGAATTCGCCCCATTTTTAATTCGCCCACTTGTGACAAGGGTCAAAGGGGCAAAAATAGAATGGGGGAGAAAATTGTCACTTGTCAGTTGTAAAAAAGATATTACCAGACATTTAAGGTATCTAAAAGTTCCATATTTGAAGACGTCGGCTACAGAAACTGACCTTTTACTGTATAGGTCAGGATGTTTTGATGTTGAAGAGTCTGGTCTTTGATTCAGTGAAAAATTTGATGTAATTTTTTTTTTATGCAAATCTATTTATCTTAACTTTAAAAGTAATTTTTAATTTTTTTATTACAAACTTATATTAGCATTCGTAAATTATAGTAAACAACTGTTAAATATAGTTTTACAGATGAAAACTATACTTAACAAATCGTTATAGTTTACGGTTTGTAAACTAAAGTTTCCAGTCGATAAATCCAGTTTATCATTTGTGAAACTATGATAAGCTCATTATTGTGAATTTTGCGTGCCATAGCTATTTGTAAAATTCAACAAATGATCAATATTGTTTGGCATGAGACTAATTAATTTGCATCCACTGAAGATTTTTTTTATTTATTCTTTATAAAAAAACTTATCAGTCAGTAAATACCATTTAAACCCTTTTTAATACCACCTGCTCAAAATTTCATTTTCAATCAATAAAACATGACATGCTAGCACAAATCTATATTCTATATTAAAGATTCAAGTGTATTCAAATCTTGAACCCCTCATGGATAAGACCGCGGAAAATTAACAGGCAAAATTGGAAATATACAGCTTACGTCATTTCTGTCTGTTACAATCAAAACATTCAGTGAGAGACAACGAAATGGGCGGGTACAATTCAACGCTGACGTTTGGAAAACATCGGAATGAAATTGCAGATCAAAATTCATTTTCAATCCACCTGAGATGTTTTCAAAGCAAAATCAACTATATTTCATTTCCCAAATACATATTGTTTGAAGCTCACTTTGATATGAGTTTTAGCTTAAAAGAAGCATTTGACCCCCTTTCTGTGTATTGAATAGCATAGATTTCCATTCACTATATATGCAAAAAATAATAAGCATTGATAGTAATGGATTGGGCCATGAAATTTCTACCTTGGATCGATAAAGAAAAACAAACTGATTTTTACGGAAAGAAGGGCATCAACTGGCATGTCAGTGTTGTTTTATCACACAATGAAAAATCTCAGATAACTACTGACTGCTACGTGCATCTATTCAATAGTATACCCCAAGGATGGTTTGCTGTTGCTTCCATACTAGAGAACCTACTACAATGCATCAAAACACAGAACAGCAAAATAACACGTGTATATCTCAGAAGTGACAATGCTGCCTGTTATCACTGTAGTCCCTTGATTGCCTCCATACATGGAATATCAGAGAGAACAGGGATACACATGGAAGGATATGGAAATAACGAAGTTTTCAATCTCAACGTCCATTAAACAAATATACAAAATAAGAGCAGAGCAAACACGGACCTCCGAAACATCAGACGTGGGATCAGGTGCCATGGAGGAGTGAGCATCCCCTGCCGACCGGTCACACCCGCCGTGTGCTCGTTGTCATAATCAGGAAATAACGGGAAAAATCCGTGGTCAATTCAGTGTATAAATAATGGACTAACAATTGGTATGAAAAACGTCAGTCAGCATTTCATTCAATGATAAATTGTATTTGCTGACAAGGTCATTGTATCGACCATAGAATTTACGAAATGATGACTTTAAACGAGACTGTTGATATTCTTGTTTCATCAACTTGCTTGTCAATAATTTACCTCGTTTAAGAAATTGTTCATACGTAGAACATGCTCTTGCGTATCGAATCATATGTCGTAATGATTTTAGTGAAGCCCAAAGTGGGAAGGACATTTGTGACAGACGAACAGCTCCTATGAAAATCCATGTTAAACGATATGGCAATGAAGGACATGATATAACAACAGCCGAAGAGTTAAAAGTAGCACTTGAGAGTTTTGGTGGAATTCAAGACACACATGTGTATACAGCTGAAATCGATTTTGATTGTCAGAATATGAATAAATGTTCTATTCCTGAAATCAACTTGTATAACAACTTCCAATTTGAGGAAACTGGGATAAGAATGTGGCTAGGATATAACATTGGTGAGGGAAAGTTCATTCCATATAAAACTATTCATGGAACTGCCAACTCGCAACAAGGAGACACAAATCTAGTGGTAAGTTAAAATTATGATGATTTGTATTAATTATGTGAAGAAAAAATAGTGTCATCAATCCCATTTGTTTTTTTAAGGGCCCCAAAACACAGTGTACATACATGTAAGCAACCATTTAGTTTTTTGATTGCAATGGTTAAATAAAATGTACATACTTTTAATAAGATGAAAACAATATCAAACCAGTGGATATATGATAACGAATTTGTAGAAATCAAATTATAGTTTGTATGTATCTGTAAAATTGAAAATATTGTTTCAATTACAGTATATGTATCATTCAAGTCTTCAAATTATAGATTTTGGAGCATCCAAAGGGGACAAAAAGAAGATGTGATTCCTGCCCAAGAAAAAGAAAATATAAAGACACACTTCAAAAGCAGGAGGTAAGATGAAATTGTGTCATTTTATAGGTAAAATGAATTTTAAATGCTTATCGTCTCTGCTCGTACAAGATTTAATAATATAACTGTCAATTCTACCTAGATAGATATTTGATTTTCTACTTCAAGAAAAAATTGAAATATATACTGTAAACCAACTTCTATTAGTGACAACTTTATTTCTCAATTTACTCGCAGAGTTAAATTAGTTCCAGATTATTTATTTAATTTTTGTGTTGAAGCCTATTTTGGTCTGTTGTTAATAGACACATAGACTTTAAGAACCAGTTTGCAGCGAGAAATATTCACAATGATCAGGCTCCTGAACTTCTCAAACATTTCTTGCATGCGAATAAAAGTTGCTTGCTGAGCTTTTCTGATCAAAATTTCTCAGTTGTCTGTCATTGTTTCCGTTGTCTGTCATCGTTATCGTCCCCAGTAAACTTCTCAATACTGAATTGATTTGTGCGTTTGTCCTAGCTGATGTGCTCAGTTAAGTGATATGGCCTATGGTCTTTTTGTTTAGATAATATAAATATGAGGAAACTTGGTGAACTGTAAAATTGCCATAATTTGGACACTTATTTGTAAGGGAGTACTAAGATATGTATTTCATAAATCATTTTATATTTTATGTAGGAGGAGGCAGTTGATGAAGTGGATGATTATACCTGTGGTGAATGTGGTATTACCTTTAATTCCCTTAAAGACTATAACCTACACCAAGACCTTGGGAATCACAAAATCAAAAGATCATGTCAAAATGATCTGGTCAACTAAATGTGTCACCATCAAAAAGAACGTAACCAAGCACCCTTCTGTTTGTGAAATACAGGATACTCAGAATAGTTTAGTGAAAGGGTGGGCTTTAAAAGGGAAACGGGTCAGTAAAAGATTTTCGAAGAAAGTAAAAGACTTTGTTGCTCAGCTATATGATGAGGGTGAAAGAACAGGCCGTAAATACACCCCCACAGAAGCTTCGAAGAAGTTGAGATCGGCAAGAGATGGAAATGGAAATCGCCTCTTTTTGCCAGAGGAATGGCTTACTTCCCAACAAGTCCAAAGACTATTTTGTAGACATACACAAAAAGCAGTTTCAAGTGTTGAAACCAAAGAAGAGAATGATGAGGATTTAGATGAAATTATAAATGAAATTTAATCTCAAAAGTCTTAAAAAGCTTCGCTCGCCATTTTAGAACCAAATAGTATTTAAAGTCAGATTACCAGACTTGATACAAGAGTATCCCTTTTCATTCAAGGTATGATAGGACTTGTATATTAATAATACATGTATGTGAATAATTTCATACTTTGGTACATATCTAACCCGTATTTCCTAACAATTGTGTCTGGTTTTACTCTTTAACATACAGAAAAAACCAAGAGCTTCAGGGGGCAAAGCCCCCATGAACCCCTTCATTTAAAGTATGGTATGAACAGTATTAGTTAAGTCATACATTGGTTAAAAATAACTAATACCACGATAATGGTGCCTTGTTTTACTCTTAAAATACACGAAAACCCAAGAGCTCCCTTGGCCTCCACCAGGGCTTCGCCCATGACCCACTGGGGGCCTGACGGCGACCCAAGACCTCTTGCCTGAACGAAGTTAAATAGGCCCCTCCCCAAATCCTGTATCCGCCTATGGTATATAAATGATTATTCTTTTAGAATCAAGTGATCAAGGTACGATAAGACAAAGAAGAAATTAAATAATCAGTCCTTGATAATCTTGAAAATAAATAATCTGTCCTCGACAGGCATGAAAATAAATAATCCGTCTTAAAAAAAACAATTGCCACCCCCCCTCAGGATTAAATAGTTGTCCCCTAACTACCAAATTAATCAAAACCTTTTTGAAACTCCTCAGGTCTTTTATTCCAAAACATTCTATATAAAGACGAAAAAGCAATTATTTTCTCAACGTTTTTCTCTCGCTACGAATTTACCTACCATGTTTACAAATGGAACTCTCTAGATTTTCCGTAGTAAATGCAGAGTTTTCACCCAGTTTCTTTTGCTACATTACGAATACACGGAATGAATTCTCGTTAAACCGGGTCCGTAGGACAATATCAGAATGTTCTCTCTTGTTGTTGACTTTGTCTTCGGGCGCCATTTCTGTTGACCTCTTTTATTTTCGTTTTTACATGCATTGTTTATGCGTGTGTATTTGTTTTACTCCAATCGTACATGTTTATACGGGTGAGTTTATTTGGGTGACAACCGATTATAAAAAACATAATCGATAATCGGAATCGAACAGCCAAAAACGATCGACAATCGATCGTCGGCGACAATCGTTTAATCACTATTCACAATACAAGATCATTACACTGTCATGTGAAAGATGTTGTAAATGATGAAAATCTGAAATCGGGAGACATAATTGCTGTTTTAGAAAGTAGGCTTGTACATAGCGATAGAGATGAGTATCATCTTCTGCCGGGATTCAGTGTGTATCGCTTTAATTCACATGCAACAAATGGCGAAGGACGACCAAAGGGTTGGGGGCATATCCAATGGGGAAAATAGAAGCCGTTGTTGCTAAAGTAGGGCACACTGCCCAGTTCAGCATCGCAGGCAAGACAGATACTATGCTGGCAACTCTAAGTGACGAAAACCAAATGATGAAAATCCAAGAAGGAAGAATCCTTCAGCTCAGAAAGTTTCTTGTGAAAGGAAATCGAGTTTCAAAAACTTCAAAAATCATGTGTGCGCCACCACTCAACTTGCCAAAGGAGCAGACAGGTAAAGCTGTTCTACTTATTCAACTAACAAAAAAATGAAAGAGGTTCTTTGCAAAGCTCCATAAATCATTTCTTATTTTATATCATGTTAATAAACATTGCTTTTTCGGGATAAAAATTTCTTCTTCTAATTGGACCTTTTCTGTGAAGTTTTAAGAACCTTGAAGCACATTGTCAATCCAGAAGGGTCAAAGCATAGCAAAATACACCGGTCATAGCGAAAGATTTAGAAACAGTAGATCCCAAAAATACAGTTGGACTAAGAATTTTCCAAAAATGAAAATATAACCACGATAAAAAGTCTAGGCTTACAAATTCCAAAAAACGAACATATTGAAGACACGAGGAACAGTAAGACAAACGACAGGATCATAGGCATCGACAGAAATTTTAATCTTTATCACATTAGTTTACCATAATTTTAATCTGACCAGCAAAGGGACCTCGGCATCTCCAATTAATAAATGTTTTAAAACCTTTCTATTAGTTATGGAATTTAAACACGCCAGATGCCTAACAGTTATTCATTTCATTAGTTCGCAGTTTTTCTTTTTTCCATTCGGGGGGGGGGGGGGGGGGGGAGTGATGGGATTGATCATGCTTTAAATATGTACTAAATTAGTTTTAGCTCACCTGAGCCAAAGGCTCAAGTGAGCTTTTCTGATCAAAATTTGTCCGTTGTCTGTCGTTGTCGTCGTTGTTAACTTTTCACATTTTCATCTTCTTCTCAAGAACCACTGGGCCAATTTCAACCAAACTTGCTGCAAAGTATCCTGGGGTGAAGGAGATTCAAGTTTGTTCAAATGAAGGGCCACGCCCTTTTCTAAGGGGAGATAATCATGAATTAGAGAAAAAATAATGGCATTATTAAAAAATCTTCTTCTCAAAAACCACTGGGCCAGGAAAGATGAAACTCATCTAGATTCATCTTCAGGTAGTGTTGATTCAAGTTTGTTCAAATCATGACCCCCCGGGGGTAGGATGGGGCCAAAATGGCCGATCAAAGTTTTACATAGGAATATATAGGAAAAATCTTTAAAAATCTTCTTCTCAAGAACCACTGGGCCAGGAAAGATGAAACTCATGTGAAATCATTCTCATGTAGTGTAGATTCAAGTGTGTTCAAATCATGACCCCCGGGGGTAGGGTGGGGCCAAAAGGGCCTATCAAAGTTTAACAAAGTAATATATAGGAAAAATCTTAAAAAATCTTCTTCTCAAGAACCACTGGGCCAGGAAAGATGAAACTCATGTGGAATCATCCTCATGTAGTGTAGATTCAAGTTTGTTCAAATCATGACCCCCTGGGGTAGGGTTTGGGCCAAAATGGCCGATCAAATTTTTACATAGGAATATATAGGAAAAATCTTTAAAAATCTTCTTCTCAAGATCCACAGGGCCAGGAAAAATGAAACTCATGTGGAATCATCTTCAGGTAGTGTAGATTCAAGTTGGTTCAAATCAAGACCCCCTGGAGAGTTGAAGTCCCCCCCCTCCAATTCCCAATAAACTTTCAGTTCTGATCTGATATGTGCGTTTTCCTATCCAATTGCTCAGGTGAGGGATGTGGCCCCTGGGCCTCTTGTTTTAATATCTAGTAGCAGAGAAGGAGATATTCAAAGAATTCCTGTATATTCACTATATAATCAATAAAGAAGCCCACCCTAACACCAGAATCCCTGATCCTGGGGCCATAAAATTACAATTTTGGTAGAGGCACTCTTGCTTATCATAACTATGTACTTAGTTAGTTTATTCATTACCCAGGAGCAGAGAAGATTTTCAAAGAATTCATGTAATTTCACCATGTAATCAATAGAGAGCCCAACCCTAACACCAGTATCCCTGACCCTGGGACCATGAATTTAACAATTTGAATGTCTCTTTACCAGTTCCTTTGTTTCTGACCTGCTTGGTGGTTTGAAAATTGGCGCAAATAGCTAGCACCGGATGTAAAGATTAAGCTGTTCTTGGAAACTTCAACAATTCTAGATAATTCAAGCCTAAACGTGTCTGGAAAGTAATTTCCCATGTGTTTAGATGCAAATGCTATACTAATAAAACACACTGCAAGATACAGAAGTATAACAAACTATAAAGAAATCACAATCACCAGAAATGAAAGACTAACAAACCACTGTAGCTATTTTTAGAAACAGTGGTTTGTTTGTGTTTCATTAAATGCTTTGCTATCAAACTACTTTAACAAACCACAAAAAATATGGGTGTAATATATGCAGTTGTAACCCTAACCCTAACCCTTTTCGAAACACACTATGAAACGCTCAGATGAAAACTCTGCAGGACTTTGAGTCTATCTAGTATGTATTTTATAGACCATCGCTTCCAAAGCACAGGTTCTGAGATGAATGTATAATAATTTTAATTACATTTTTTCCATTAGATATCATATGACTTTTACATCAAGAATATTTTCCGTTTTCTGCTCTGTTCCGCTTTATGTTCCGTTTTCTGTTCTGCGTTTTAGCAACACCCTTTTATACTGTACTAGAAAAGGGTTTCTTAAGAGAGATTGTGTGAACTTTGTTCAATACTCATTATTTATGTTCAGTACAGTGAAAATTAATGACCACGAGTAACTCAGTATTTTCAACATTTATCATCTAAATAAGGTTTATACTGTTTAGACAATAAAAAAAAATTCTACATAATTATTTTAGAAATATTTCATTATTTTCTAGTCTTCTTAAGGATTCACAAGTAGTTATACCAGACAAAATTCATGAGTAATAAAGTATACACATTTGTTGTAGGTATACCTCTGTTGCTGGCCTTGTTTGCTGCAGACCCTGTCAACTCCAGGGGTGTGTGTTATGCCTTCATGACAGATCCTCTGTTGTACCCTTCCACAGCCCTAATGAAATCTGGAGAAAGGAGGATTTGCTATATGTGTATTCATATGTTTAATATTATCAAGAACTGCTGATGCATTTCAAGAAAAAGGACAAGCTTTAATCAATGATTCCGGTTCATGTTTTTTTAAACAATATTTTTTTAATTTTGAGATATTTGTAAATTCATTGATAATCTTGATAAGAAAATTTGACATACCATCATTTTTTTTTACAATTCTGCAAAACTTTCCCTCTTCAAATATTCTGATCTTGTAGAGTGGCAGTATAAGAGCAGAATCTTCATATTGGTGAGTGCACTTAAGCTAGTCCTTCTCTAACACTTTTTCTTGCTCTTTTCCTGTCATGGATCGAAAGTGACATAGAGGTGGATAACTTAGAAAGTCTTACTCACCTGGACCATCATGAAACATAATACCATCACTGCAGATAGACCACCACGCGTCTTCGCCACAACTCAAGAAATCAGATACCCTTTGACAGTGGGTTTGAAGTAAGGTTGTTTTTTGTAGGACTTCCATGTCGAAG